CTCACTATTATTTCTGTTATTGTTACAAGTCTGAAATCATACATAATAGTCCAAAAATTTAAAGATCCTAAAAAGCACAACTGCTACCTGGCTCTGGTAATAAAGGTACATTTGTAAAACAGCCACACTGCTATTTAAAATAACTAGGAAAAACTACCAAGAACCACCACAGGTTGACACTAGAAAATTGAAATCTCATCAAAAGAGAAAATCTTATCTTCAAAAATGATACACAACTCCTTCATCTTTTCATCCATGTGTTCACACATGAGTATTTTCGGTGTTTTTCCAAAAAACAATTGCATTAATGTTGCTGGTTTATGGTTGGGTATTTATGGTGGTGTTTTTTTTTTCTCTCTTTAACATATACAACTTGTATTCATATTTGTATTTAATTATTATGCAAAACCACCAGAAACAAAAAAGGTATCCCCTGAGTCTTTATGGGCAACCTGCACAAGCAATATTTTCCAGCTACATATAAAATATCAGGTAATGGCAGGTAAACCCTTCCTAAAAAAAAAACTTTTTTTTTCTTATGAAAACCATCCACAGTCTGACAAGTAGAATTGTAATTCATTTTGGTTACTATGCATGAAGGTGAGAATAAGAGTCAGTATCCCTTGAGGATATATCTTAGTTATACATTTCCTTATAAAAATTTCACAGAATTAAAAATTATAAGAGTTATAGTAAAAAAGATTAACTGTTATAAACTCTCAGAAAAGAAAAATAGCAATAAATACAATTACCACCTTCTTTTAGCTAATTGTGACATTGAAGCCAGAGAAAAGAAACGTATTTCAATTATTATATTCAATATTGTTGAGAACAGAAATTCTAATAAATTTTTCAATCACATTTCTTATAAAATCTCAATAATAGTGATGTGATAAAAGACATGGCAGGGCATATCTGTTACTCTTTAAACATGACAACAAGCACTGGGAAAATGGGTACCCCAGCAAGCTCCAATACTCTTACGTCTCTGACAGCCAGAGAAAGTTCAGGGTTTCCTAGAATAAATGCAATTCTGTCATTTCTAATGTGTTCTCATCATCAGTTAATGGATTTTTTTTTTTTTTTTTGCCTCCAGCTCAGACAACCTTCCTGTCTCATAATTTCTTCTAAATCAATTCATAGGTTATCCATATTTTCTCATCTGGAACACTAATAAGCTTGTCTAAAATTCAGTTTTAATGCACTGTTCTCCTGACTTACTGAGGCATTCTTTTTCAAGTCCACATTGCGTTTCTGTGTCACTCCCCAAAATTTCAGTAGAAATCAGTGGATGCGCCACCATTTGAAAATCTGTCACTCATGTGCCTATACATACACTGAGTTCAGAGTCTAAATACACACACGCGCACACACACACACACAAAAGGCTTGATTAGCATTTCTGGAGCCCAAAGACTTGGGTACAACCATTTCTGGTTTTTCAAGCATTCTCCAAAATGATACACAGCTTGGAGAACAAGAGGATACTCTAAATATTCAAGTATGAATGCCAAAATAAAACATGGATTTGTCTTGGTAGTGCTAGAAATCACAGAATCAGCTAAATTTTGGCTGTACGGGACCTCAGGATATCATCTATTCCAAACTCCTGGCCAAAGTAGGGCTGCCTTCAAAGTTAGATCAGGTTGCTCAGGAACTTGGGCAGCACGGTTCTGTTGCATTTTGTGGCCATTAAATCTCTCTCTCCTATCCAGTGAACTATTTTTAACGACTTATGGAAGAACTTTACATCTCTATGATTTCTGTGTTAAGCAGCTCTTATGAATCTACAGTGGACTTCAGAGTTCAAACTGAACAGGGATTAAATATTTAAGTATTTATTTACTTGCCAAGATAAACTTTCAAACTAAATGTTCTCTTTAGGAAGGAAAGTACTTTGAAACTTTTTAAGGAGTTCCAAATCTTTGCATGTGGAATGTGCACATGGTTTCTTGTGGAGGTTGTCACTGCATAGGCAGATTGCAATCGAAGCCCAAACAGAGATAAACAAGATACTAATTCTTGACTTGACCAGACTGTATATGCAATTTTAAGCAAAAGAAAGAAAAGCCTTTAAACTGGGATGATCGTTAACTTATCTGAGAAAAACACAGAAAAGAGCAACTGAATAACTTAAGCTATAAATGCAACAGATAAACACAATCTGAAGGTAGCACATTTCTCATCACTTGAAGCTTTCGTGATTATGTTTGTGCGGCTCACAAAAACATGCATTAGTCAAACATACTTTATTGGATTCAAAGTAGAGGAAAATAAGTAAAACCACTTATTTCTCTAATACAAGAAATTGAATTACGTGTTCAAAAAGGTGGTTTTTTTTAATATATCCATACAATCTAGAAACCTATGAAATGAAGAAATCAGAACAGAAATATTCATAAATGTTGAATAAAACAAGAGCCCAACATTTCTCTACCCCCTCTTGACTGCACCTTATTTTCTCTAGTCTTCTTGACACACTGCTAAAATAGAAATGCATTGTTCCTCATGAAAATACAAAGGTAAGGATCTTAGGCATCTTAGTTTCCACCATTGAAGAAATCCATGTCCTGTAGTTCAACTTGTAATTTCTTTATTTACATTTGTTGAGGTGTGCTATCAAACATAAATCTAGCTAAACCAAAAGTTAATCCAAGGAACTTGAGAAACTGTGAAACCACAATGGTACTTTCAATTCTTGGCTGATGTATTCTCTTTTCTGGGCAAGGTGTTGGAAAATAAAACTGTAAAGTTGTGTACTTAGTTAGAGACTTTCATGTCCAGAATAATTTGTAGAAAGATACCGTAATTTTTTTCAAAAACAAAGAAAGAGGAATAGGTGTAATTTCTCTGGAAAGTGACTCAACTGTAAGGAGCATAGGAACCATACAAAGACATCATTTTGGATGTCTTAATTAAAGAATTAAAGAAGTAGCGATTTATATTTTATCTCTGTTTTATTCTGAAAACAGAAACGTCAAGTCTGGTCTCACACTCAAAAGAGGGCCTACATTTCCATCCAGCAGACCAATCTCAGGATCCACAATGTCTACAAGAAAATTGTTAGTAATAGGTGGATGGACAGATAGGGTTAGCTGGCATTCATTTTTGATATAATGAGCATTCCTAGAAGAAAAACTACTTGTGTGTGTATTTTAAATAACGGAGCAACCCATCTTGAAGCTTACCAGGATAAAATTATGTGACCAGCTTCCCATTATTAATGGCACTCAGGGACAGAAAGGCACCAGACCACGGACTCAGCAAATCACGCTGACGGTGACAGAAGTTTGGTGTCTACTGCCATATTTCTCTGGACCGCACAGCTCCTGCCCCTGTCCACGCACTCACAGCACGTGTAAATTTGTACAGACACAGGAAACGTGATATGCATAGAAATACAAAGATTTTCTCCAACAATAAAGAAACCGGTCTATATCTGGTTAAAAGCTGGATACAACTAATAGATACATTATACATGTTATCTTGCATCACTTTCATCTTGCTCTTTTTAGACCACTGGCCAAAAGTCTTAGCTGCTAGTAGCAAATTTTACTCAGTTGAAAGGTAAATGGTTGAGCATACACTCCTAATCAATCACAGCATGAAATGAAACAGGTTTTAATAGTTTCTTTAATTTGGTTCAATGGTTTTGTTTGTTTTTAATGTGAACCTGTCTTCCATGGTATAATAACAAACCAAGACAATGTGCTCAGTCAGATCCCTATCTTAAATTAACTGTTTCATAAATTTCTAATCTGCTTTTAAAAGACAAACATAACTAAACAGTTGTTGCTACTGTATTCCTGCTCATACTTGGAAACTATAAATTATTTAGAACAAGAACTGTCTGGTGGGTGAGAAATTGGTTAGATGGTCGCATCCAGAGGGTAGTGGTCAACGGTTCAACATCCAGATGGAGACTGGTGACGAGTGGCATCCCGCAGGGGTCCGTATTGGGACCAGTACTGTTTAATATCTTCATCAG